AAACGATGATTAGGTGACTAGGCAAATATCAAAATACTGGATGGATGAAGGATGCAAGATACTAAATTCAGATGCAATAGAGTGAAAATGCAGATGACTAGGCAGATGATGATGGTGTTTTTGTGTTGGAACAAGGGTTCCGACCGTTTATATATCTGGCAAGGGACTGCCTCTGACTCTTTTCTCTCGCAAACCCTATTGCACATGTGTGTGCTTGCGAGCTGCTGCTTAGGTTGCATTGAGGCTATCCCGCATATTAGTAATTTAGCATACTCCATTTTGCATATTGGCTTTTCACGAATTGCTTCACACGCAATAATTATCAACCGATGAGTCGGGAAAGTAGTGTGGAGCATTTGCCACATATCATTACGACAGACATCGCAATGTCAGGCTCCCACCAGACTCTTTTCAACAGCAGCCAGCGTATGCAGAGGGGTACGTGTGTACCGGCCTGATTAGTCTAAACCACAGGTACAATAAATGTATAGTAAACTGATCGTCAGATCATTGCAGTTGAATTGTAGGGTGTTACCATCAAAAAGCTCTGCATGTCCATGCTCGAGTGATGGGCCAGTGATAGCTGCGCGTCATTCTGGATCAGTAATGGACAAGGAATGTAAATGCTTAGTACTGGCCAGTGCGACTTTGATGGCAAGAACCATATCTGTCAATTGTCAATGAGTGACTGAGGAGATACAGCATTTGCCACCGCCAGAAACATAAGTAGCATGCCTTCATGTTTTTGCTTGTGAAGTAATACTGTTATATGGCACTGGATTTATTTTAGCAGGTGAAATAATATCGAACGATCCACTGCAAAAGTATGAAGATGTTAACCAATTAGCAATGATTATTATTGTAGTGACGTAAACGTGCATTTTAAGAGCGAGTCACAACATCACTATGGTGTTTAGTAGTGGTTGCCGCATGGAGGAGGGCAGCAAGGTTGCTGGCAGCATGGCTGGTGGCAGCAAGGAGGGGGGCAGCAGGGAGGGGGGCAGCACGGAGGGGGCAGCACGGAGGAGTGCAGCAGCAAGGCTGATGGCAGCAGGGAGGCGGCGGGCAGAATGTATGGATGACAGTGTGGCAGATATGCTGGCAGCAGGGATCGGTGGCAGCAGCAGTCATGATGGCAGCAGGGATCGTGACAGCAGCCAGTCATGGTGGCAGCAGCAGTCATGGTGGCAGCAGCATGGCTCATGGCAGCAGCAATCGTGGTGGCAACATTCCTGGTGACAGCACGGATTGCAGCAGCAGTCATGGTGGCAGCACTCATGGTGGCAGCAGCAGCCGTCGTTGTGACAGCACTCGTGGTGGCAGCACTCATGATGGCAGCACGGGTTGCAGCAGTCATGGTGGCAGCAGCAAGGCTGGCAGCAAGGCTGGCAGCAAGGAGCATGACAGCAGCATTCGTGGCAGCACGGCTGGCAGCAGATGCACTGGTGGCAACAGCAGTCCTTGCAGCCCTTCTTACCGCAGCAGATAATGCAGCACGGCTGGCAACACGGCTGGCAACACGGCTGGCAGCACGGCTGGCAGCACGGCTGGCAGCAACAATCACAGCACAGAGTCTTCCCGGCGTGTCTGTTATCGGCGGCGGCCTGAGTTGGAGTTCCAGCAATCTTGCATGCATTGACGTCATCAGGAGTATTGGCAAACAGCTGGTTCGGGGCAAAAAGTGGCAGTCACCGGAGTCTGAACCGAAGCAATTGAAGCAGGAGTAGCAGCATGGGTAGGAGCGGCAGCAGTCTTCTTGGCATCAACACTGGTTGTGGAGGCGTTGTTTGTTGGTACGGCGAGCGCGCCAAGCATGAAAGCCAAGAAGGCCAAGAACGTAAAGAATGCCGATTTCTGCATTAGGGTAGAGGTCGAGGAGGGTAATTAGGTCGACTAAGTAGCAGTGCGTGCAATGGGTGTTAATGTGCGAGAGATGATGATATTAATGAGGCTGTGGAAACATCAGTGTCTGATTTGAAAATAGAAGTCGCAGCCCATGCTGGTTAATATATACGAAAAATGTGACGAAAGCAATCAGTATTAGCGTCAAGCTAAGCTCTGCTCGCTGCACCGCTATTCCGGACATGCTAATGTTAGAGGAAATATTTGCCTATTTCAAAGGGGAACGTGTGATATTGCTTATTGCTGTCACAGATGTGGGCTTTGATCAGGGTGTGGAGGACCGACATATAAAATATGGTGGGGGGGTTCATTTTTGAAAAGCCAACCCACACTATACGAGGCAAATCCTTCCATCTCACGGTATATTGTCCTCTCCGGCTTTTCCACTACTATAATTAATGCAGCTTATGTAGCTTGCAATGTAATCATCTCCGCATGGCTCGTATAGGGGTAGCCAGGGTGCAAAAATAAAATGGATAATATACAGGCACACTGGTTGGAAATAATATCTGCCCAAGGCAATATTGCATCGCATTGAATGCAGTATGCTGCGCTCGTTACACAGCCATGATTTGTAGCGGTATTTGTGCAGTAAGCAGCTGTAAAACAATGCATACATTGGTAATTCGATACACTTTTGAACATATTCTTTGCAACTAAAGGATTTTTTATTGATATTTGTCGACTAAAAGCTAACTAGCAGATTGACCTCTATATGAATAAACCACAAAGGTTCTACCTGAGTGTTAGATAATTAGGAAAGGATCATTGGGAGTGCTTTAGAGTAATGATTAGTTGATTGGTATCAATCTGATAAGTAGTTGAGGTAACTTAGGCACAAACGTTGCTGTTGCAGCACGAGTCGCACCAGACGTGCTGGAGGCAGCCGTTCTTGTAGATAGCAGTGCGCTTGATGTGGTAGCAAGCCGGACCGCAGCAGTCATGGTGGCAGCAGCAGTCGTGGTGGCAGCAGCAATCGTGATGGCAGCACGGCTCATGGCAGCAGCAGTCGTGGTGGCAGCAGCAGTCGTGGTGGCAGCACGGCTCATGGCAGCAGCACTCATGATGGCAGCAGCATGGCTCGTGGCAGCAGCAATCGTGGTGACAGCAGCACGGCTCATGGCAGCAGCACTCATGATGGCAGCAGCATGGCTCGTGGCAGCAGCACTCGTGGTGGCAGCAGCACGGTTCATGGCAGCAGCACTCATGATGGCAGCAGCACGGCTCATGGCAGCAGCACTCATGATGGCAGCAAGGACCGGGATAGCAGCAGCAGGAGTCGTGCTGCCAGGCACCATCGCAAAAGTTCTTGCTGCCACCCTTGGTCTCATGGGCCGCAGCAGGAACTGGCACTGCAGCAGCGTGGGAAGGAGCGGCAACGTGAGCAGGAGCAGCAGCGTGAACAGGAGCAGCAGCGACGGCCGCGCCGTTTTTGGCAACAGCAGCATTCACATTCGTCACCGGAGCAGCCATTGCCGCCATGATGAGGGCAAGGAATGCAAGGAACGCAATGAAGGTAGGCTTGAACATTATCGAAACCGATTAGCAGATATTATGATCAAGTAAAAGTGGTTAACGTGTAGCTGAGCTAGTTGCTGGCTAGGAACTGCTGGCCTTTGAGACGGTAAGAAATAGATAGGTGACAAGAGAACCTAATAAGGTTTGCTGATGTTGTTGTGTTGGGTGCCGGTTTCCACCTGCCACAGCTTATATAGGGTTGCGTAGCTGCCAACCAGAGGCAACTAAACCTCACTTGTCTATATATTACCCCATTGGGTGGGAGAAAAGGCGGGTCGCATATCTCCGCATTTAATTCACTCTCCAATGATATATTGCCCACATAATATCAGACTTTGGGTGTACCTTTGTTTGATGAGGGGGTTTAATATGTGGGAGTAATCAGCAGTCTGTGGGTAATCCACACTTTTTTAATACATGTGGGAAGACAATATCCATAGGGCATACTCAGGGTCAACTCTACGCTAATGAGGCCGCTGTGGGAGCTCAAAACCCAATATTAAGGCACATGCTATTAAATTCCTATTCAAATAATCTGCGAGAATATCTGGTATCCAATTTATCGAACAAGAAAGGCTGTTTAACTGATCCATCACCGGCATATAAATCAAAACTAGCTTTACCACATAATGAATCAGCGGAATTCTAGGTGGAAAGTGTGACAATGTGGGCCCTAAAAGGATTTGGATAGCGCTAATATTATAATAGATTCACAAAATATTAATGAACTATGCGTGATATAAGAAAAGACTGAAGTGAAGTGAGCGAGGCTTGGTGATAATGATCCCTGCCATCGACACAAGTACCGATGATAAGGAGATGACAAAATCGGTTTGTAGAAAATAGCCGGATTTCGAAGTATTGCCTCTAATGATAAAAATGAGAGTTTGTGGTAGCAACACTGTCCGTATTTCTGGAACTAGCTGGTCGCGAGTAGAGCGTATCTTATTAGCCACGGCAGCAGCCACCGCAGCCACCACATCCACCGCATCCGCAACCACCGCACCCGCATCCGCCGCATCCGCATCCGCCACAGCCACCACATCCGCCGCATCCGCAGCCGCCGCATCCACCACATCCACCGCATCCACCACGGCAGCACCCACACCCGCCACAGCCGCCATAACCGCCATAAACCGCCATAGCCACCACATCCACCGCACCCACCACACTGACCGCAGCCGCCGCAACCTCCGCAACCACCACACTGACCACAACCGCCGCAACCGCCATAGCCTCCATAGCCACCGCATCCACCACAACCGCAACCGCGGCAGCATCCACCACAACCACCGCATCCACCGCATCCACCACAGCCATTGCAGCAACCGCCACAACCACCGCATCCACCGCATCCACCACAGCCGCCGCATCCGCAACCGCCGCATCCGCAACCGCCGCAACCGCCACAGCCGCCGCATCCACCGCACCCATTACAACAACCACCACAGCCGCCACATCCATTGCAACAACCACAACAGTGGAGGTCCTTAGCCTGAGTGTGTAGAGCAGAAAGGGGCGAGATGGGGTTAGAGCGAAGAGAAACTGAAGGGGTGGTGGCGGGAGAATTCTCAGGCTCGACATGAGGTTCGTCGATCTTTGCACATTGCGGCTGCAGGAGCTGCTGCAGAGGACCCGGGTGGGCCACTGCCGCTGCCTGATGTGGGGTGATGATGAGCGGTGCACTGTTCCTGTTCTGATCAGATGCCGGTTGAGATGTAGCAACTCCCAGAAGTATCGCAAGGAAGGTAAACACTAGCAGGAGACTTGGCGTCTGCATTTTTGCGTGTATACTTTAGCAAATCTGTAAATGTATAGATTGCTTAATGAAGCAGGCTGGTTGATTGTGTGGAGGTTATGCAGTGAAAGACGATGGCAGCGGTAGTGTAGCAAAATAGTTTTTGGAATCTGCTGAGCGTGTGAATCCAATGAATTACTGGGAATGAAAAGAACAGAGCTAAGTAGAGTATAACAGAATGCTGTTACTAGTGAATTGGAGATAGACTTGGTAAGGGAGTTGCGCCATACCAGCCAAGTTATATACGTGTTCCCATCCGCTTCAAATCCCGGTACACTGGCCACCCACTTTGCACACGACCCAGCAAAACTGGCGCAGTCTATGGAGGTGCATCGAAACAGTGGATAAGACAGGCATATCGCTCATATTTTGTGGGGAACCCAGGCCGTAGACAAGCGTGTTGAGAATTGAAGTTGCGTGAATAGGACTTGGATAATTCCCACCCACACCTATCTTGTCACTCATACTGTGTTCCTAGTTCAGGATGCACGGACTCCACAGTGTGCATTCAAAAACGCGTAAGGGAGAAATATTCTGGAACCGTGAGCAGGGTCCTTTGAGGAATTTGTTCTGTGGAGGCTAAGAGTAGATTTCGAGCAAAAACAAGTGTGTTGGACGTCTCAGCGCGTTTACGGTGATCAAGACATGGCAGTAGAGTAAGATTAGAAGTAGACTCAAGAGGCTACAAGGAATAGAGCTAGTGGTCTCTTGGCCCTAGTTCCATGTTTTAAATTTTCGCAAAAAATGACTAGGAATAATGGAAGTACCAAGAAAGCTGAAACGCGCCAATAGTGGATCGAAATAAGGGAGCTGGGATAGAAAAAAGATATTGTTAATGCACAAACAGAGCTTATTAGTAACCACCCTCACCACCCTCACCACCATAGCCGCCATAGCCGCCATAGCCGCCATTGCAGCAGCAGTTACCAGGCTCGGCGCAGCAAGTTTGGTGAACAACAGTGTGGAGGACTGTTGTACAGCAAGGTGGACAGCACTGGGATTGGCAGCAGCACTCACCATTACCACCATATCCCCCGTATCCGCCATACCCGCCGTACGGTCCGTACCCCCCATATCCGCCATATGGACCATATCCACCGTATCCGTTGTATGGACCGTATCCGTTGTATGGACCGTATCCGTTGTATGGACCGTATCCGTTGTATGGACCATATCCGTTATGTGGACCATATGGTCCATAGCCGGCATAGCCAAAGTTTTCGACACCAGGAGCGCCCCAGGTATTATATCCGTTGCTACAGCAATGCCCTCCAGAGCCACACCCTCCGCATCTAGCGTACCCATCCCAACCACCATTACCACAGCACGGCCCGCCACTATGGCAATATCCACCATCGCAGAGTGCCTTGGCATGTCTGACAAAGATAACTGGATCTGCTGTCTTCGAAGGGGCTATGGAAGCCGCCTTCTCGTGAGAAACATCTGGACTGTAGGCATGCGCCTTTCCCTTGACCTGGGAGACAGCTGGATCGGCAAGTGAGACAACAGCAAAAGCAAGAAGCGCCAGAAGAGCGATAAGTGATGATCTTTGCATCTTGTTTCTGGAACTGTAAAATGGTAGTGTCGATGCTGTGCGTGAAAAATGAGAAGGGGAGATGAGGTCAAATGCAATGGAATTGATGTTGCGTGTCGCGGGTTGACTGTTGCTGGATTCTAAGGCACAGAGCTGAATTTATACAGTGTTCAAGTGATGTGTAGTGCACAAGTAGGCATGAATATTCTGTCTGATGCCCTATCTCCGGGTTGTTTGCCATGGCCATGAAATTGTAACATGCTATACCGATTTTCTGTATTGGGTCCTGCACCATGGATAGAGCATATTGGTTCATTATTTAACGATTTGGCATGCGAAAATCTCCTCAGTAGGTGTGGGCCCTGCACCCTGGTTGTAGTAATATAATAGATGAAAGTGCTGGAAATTGTAGCGCAAATACGAGCGTACACTTTTTCCCAGGGACCGCCTACACGTAGTATCTAAGATAATTCGTTCCTATTGTGGCAGTTGTTTGCATTGCAAAACATGGGATGGGGGCTGCATCGCCAGCCCAAAGCGGCTGCTGGTACTACCACATTGGCCAAAATACAGCACAGCATTCACTATAACGTGGAGTATTCACGACACAAGGCTAGGGTATGGTTGTTAGAATATAAAAATATCAAAAGTGAATATGAAAAATATTAAGGCTTGAAACAATATCAGAAATCCATATGGAGCAGAAGCCGACAAAAAATCGGAGATTGACCAGTGAGCGATGCCTGTTTACTCTTCATCGCCATCGTCTGCGTCGCGCTGACTACCATGGCTCTTCTTGCACTTGTGCTTGCCTTTCTTTCCGGCTAAAGCGTGAGTGCCTCCATGCGATAGCTTCTTTTTGCCATTGTGGCCACTGTCATCACCACAGCAATTGCAACACGGGTTCTGACACCAGCATGGGTTTTGGCAGCAACAGTTGTTCTGGCAACAGCAAGGATCCTGGCAGCAGCAATTATCCTGGCAGCAGCAGTTGTTCTGGCAACAGCAAGGGTTCTGGCAGCAGCAGGGAGGGCAACCACAGCAGCATGGCGGCGGTGGTGGTGGCGGGCAGCAGCAAGGAGGTGGTGGTGCGTAGCGGCAAGCAGGGCAGCCACAGCCACATGGTTGGTTTATACAGCATCGTGATCCACAGACAGGCGTTGGCTCAACACACGGCAGCGCGCAATGGCAGTCACCGCACCCGTACTTATACGGCGGGCCCACAACAGGCAACGAGATCGTGGCCATACCTTCCAGGGTCGGGTCAGGCATAGTCAGATGGTACGTGGGCGTGCCCTCATGGTGGCAGCAGCAGCACGAGCATCCGTTGCTATCCGATTCTCCACCATGTGCTGCTTTGTTTTTGTGGCAGCCCTTACGCACAACTCCTTTGACAACAGCGTCTGGTACCCCAGTGGCCGCTTTGGTCAGATCGGCTGCTATTTTGGACACTTCGGCGGATTCGGCGCCAGTATCAAGCGCCTCTGTAGGTTCAGATTCAGCATCGGGTTTCCCGGAGGCTGCTACGCGGTTGTTTCCGGATGGGGAGGGTAACAACTCGAGGTCCGGATCACGTGTGGTAACATCAACATGTAACATGTCTTGTACAGTGGCTTCGGGAAGGACGGCGCTGGATGTTACTGGCTCGGCACTCGATGCATGGTGGTGGTAAGGCAGGCAGGCAGTACCAAGCGTACCAAAAAGCAGCGATACCAACAGCAAGAGATGTGGTTTCCTCATTGTGTATTTACGTGTGGGGATCTGACCAGAATGTGCAAGGGCCAGAGGTTGGAATTGAAAATAAAGGAAATGTGCTAGGGCTGTGATTTGTATTGCGGAACAGGTATGCCTTTCTGGGGAGTCATTGATATGGCTATTTATTGCACCGGTCAGCAGGCAGGTGTGCCATCGCCAGTATGCATAAATGGACGCTCTAGGTATACGATAGACAAGTGGTTCACATGCGCACGCAGCATATTAAACTGTCCCTCCCGAAGTAATATAAACCTGAGAAAACAAGGTGGCTGTGGCCGGTGCTTGCTGGATTTTTAGTGCGTAACGCAGCGGCCAGCAGCACACTTTTTAGGCACAGCGATGGCTGGGGAAGTATAGGGATTGTAAACACCTACCCCTCCACAGCAGCCTTCTTTATGCTGGATGAGAGCGATCTGACTACCAATGTCTCAGCACACACCCACTCGAAGCCGATGTCATAGATTGGGTAAAAGGAATGAGAAATTACAGACGTGCCAAAAGATTATGCGGGAAAATGGGGAAGATAAAAATAGCTTGCGCTTGCCAAGAGCCGGCCCTCACTCGTATGCTCGACGGGGCTGCGGGCTTGGCTCCTGGTACTCGGCGCCACTGCCTGGCGATTGCTGGAAATCGTGCTGTGTCTGGTACCCAAAGTATCCGTGGCCTGCAGGTGGTTGCGTGGCATAGGCATTGCTGGGTGCGTACGATACCTGCGGGGCAGGGTTTGCTGGCGGGTACGGCGTCTTGACAAAGGTGGAGTGGTGAGGGACGCCACCAGCACTAGGGTAAGACGCGCCCGCATTCTGGTCGAACTGCACGCCAGTGCCATACGATGTGTTTCCATATGACTGCGAAAGCTGTGTAGTGGTAGTTGTCTGCAGTGGCTGCTGTGGCGGTGGTTGTACATCATACGAGCTGTTGCTGACGGTGGCCCATGGATTGAACCCCTGCGGGCCGTCTTGTGCCATAGGCGTCTCATATGCGTAAGAGCTCCCAAATTGCATCTGCCCGGCTGTGTTTTGCTGCTGGCGGCCAGCGCTGTCAAACATGCTGTCGCGAGTCGGCTCCGTATCCAGCTTGTATGGATCTGTCCCCTCGCCGTGCGTCGGCACCACCACGGGGCGGAAGTCGGCGTCGGACGGCGGCAGCTCACCAATAGGCTCGACCCTTGTTGCCTTCAAGTCGCGCGCAACAAAAGTCAGTGCCCACACCAAGCACGATATGGTCTCAGGCACGGTCGTCAAAAAAAACAGGTACAGGCGACGCTTGTCCGTGTCCAGCTTTATGACACGCAGCGCTACCAGCATGTAAAACAGACTGCGCACAAACAGCAGGAATGCAGTGATATAAAAGGACATGCGCACACGCGGCGCCTGGTACACCATGGCCTCGTGGACAGTGAAGCGCACAACTGTGCCCAAGTACACAACCGACAGGACAAGGAAGCCGATTTCGGCCACCTTTAGCGTTGTTTTAGGCGTGTCACTTGGAGTTTTGAGCCAGTCAATCTGGCCAGCAGCCTCCAGGCTGCCGAATACAACGCTGGCTACAGCCGACACTCCTGCCATCACAATGGTTATGCGGTTCCAGCTGACGCCCGAGCGGATAGCAGCCCACTTTGCGAGTAGCAGGAGCGCACCAAACAGCAGGAACATGAAGGACGCAGCGTAGACCTTGTGGCCCTGGTCGTTCATCGACTTGTCTTCCCGAATGGCGCCAATTGCTGATAGAAGCCAGCCGATGGCGCTGAGCACGGTGAACAGAAGTGCAGGGAGCAGTGGGGTAAAGCGGAAGCGCACCACTTGCCACAGCAGCAACAGAAAGCTGGCAGC